TAGTAGTAGTAGTAGTAGTGGCGTTAGTGTAGGAAAGGAGTCGCAGTAGCAGTAGCAGCAGTGGTTGTGGTAGTAGTAGTAGTAGTAGTAGTAGTAGTAGTAGTAGCAGTAGCAGTAGAAGTAGCAGTAGCGGTAGTAGTAGCAGCAGCAGCAGCAGCAGGAGTAGAAGTAGTAGTAGTAGTAGTAGTAGTAGTAGTAGTAGTAGTAGTAATTGTTGTTGCTGTTGTTGTAATAGTTGCAGTAGTGATAGTAGTAGTAGTAGTAGTAGTAGTAGTAGTAGGAGTAGTAGTAGGAGTAGTAGGAGTAGCGGTAGTCATCGTCGTGGTGGTGGTAGTAGTAGCAGTAGTAGCAGTAGCAGTAGCAGTAGCAGTAGCAGTCGCAATCGCAGTCGCAGTAGCAGTAGCAGTAGTAGTAGTAGTAGTAGTAGTAGTAGTAGTAGTAGCAGGGTACTAATAGTAGTCGTAGTAGCAGCAGCAGCAGCAGTAGGAGCAGTAGCCTCCCTGTGCTGTCCTACTCGTCATTCGTCATCGTTAGTACGAAGGCATAGAAGTGTAGAAGAAATTCTACAACCGGTATAGGCATGATCGGTAAACAGTTAGACGACATTTAGTTTCCTGCAACACAAGCTGACACGAGCTCTCAAAGCTACTGGTCTGCTGCAAAACATGAAGATCATGGCATCGATTGTGATGATGACGATGACAGTGAGGATGATGATGGTGATGATGATGATGATGATGCGGATGAGGATGAGGATGCGGATGAGGATGAGGATGATACGGATGATGAGGATGATGACGGTGATGATGGTGCTGATGGTGGTGATGATGCCGATGATGATGACGATGGTGATGACGATGATGACGATATTGATGGTTCTGCGGGGGGGTTCCGTGCGAGTGCGCCCACCAAGAATATCGGCGTATATCAAGGGAAAGTCCGAAGCAAATGACATCTAAACACACAAACTCCAACCTCGAATCTCAACCTGCTTTGCGCACTTCTCTCACGAAAAGCCGCCTGTGCCAAACGACTCGCTTGGTCGGGTGGTATCCCGCGTCGTACGTACTCCTGGTACCACAACACCTGCCGCGTCCGATTCATGCAAGAGTAGGGGGAGCTCTGCACAGCTGCAGTTTCACCAAGATTCGAGTTTCGAGGTGAGGGTTCAGGGATTGAAGGTTTAGGAGTTTAGGGTTTGTTCCAAAATCTTGAAGTTTTGCGCCAAATCTTGTGCGACACATGAAGCACGTCAGGTGTTGCATCGGGTGGATACCCTTTGAGTGAACACGTTCTGCAGGCGATGCAACCCCTGCATACTAACAAACCCCAGCACCCTGAAGCCCAACCGTAGACCCTCTAGTCCGATTTGCCGTCTTTGTTTTTGGGAAGCAGCCCAAGCTGACCCAGACCTTCCAATATCCCTTATATCAGGAATATACCTTACATGATAGTAGGACCCCAAATATGGCGTAGCGTGTATTCGTTGATGAGAGGATACTGGCAGGTCTGGGGAACACCAGTTATGGAGCATGTGGGAGTCCCTAAACCCTAAACCCTAAACCCTAAACCCTAAACCCTAAACCCTAAACCCTAGTCCCGGCTCGGAGGTTAAGCTTCGAATTCGACTTGAGGATGTTGGGTGGGGCGGGCCCCGTAGCCATTTCCGATGTACCAAACAAAACCCAGACCTAAACCAACCCGAAGGCTTCAGGGTTTAGGGTATACCTTAAGAACCCAAAACCCACTTTTTTGTAGGTTCTTATTATAAACCCTAATATGGGATTTATAGGGACCCTACAAAAAAGTAGGTTTTGGGTTCTTAAGGTAGGGGTTTAAGATTTTAGGG